GGTGCGCGTGGGCATGGCCCCGGCCCAGGCCTGCGGCTCGCCGCCAGGCCCTGCCCAGCCTCGCCTCCCCCTGGCACACACTGCCCCCGCACTGCCCCACTACTAGCACACAGACACCACCGCCACCGCCGCCCTCCTCTCGCTCCCCCTCCTCCCCACCTTCTCCCTTCCTCACCCGCTTTCTTTTCCTGCTTTCCTCCCTGTCCCAGATGGACATGGTGGATCTCATAAACGACGAGTTTGGAACTGAATACGAGGATGACACGCCGTGGCGCCTCATCCTGGCGCCCGGCACGCTGCCACGCTCGCCCCAGGGCGCCGCCGCGGGTGAGCCTGCCCGGCCGCGCGCGCGCGTGTGTCTGCTTGCGGGCGGGCGTGGGGGTGGTGAGGGCTGGTAAGGGCGTCCTGGGGGGAGGGGTGGTGGGGTGGTGCAGGCTAGCGCGCCCGCCTGCGTGCCTGCCCGGCTCCTGCCGGCGCACGTGCATTGGCTGCACTGCACTCCCGCCCGCTCCCCTCCTCCGCCACCTGACCTGCCACGCACCCACCCACACGCCCAACGTCCCACACCAACCAGCCATGCACCACCGCCGCCCTACGCCGCCACCCGCCCCTCCCCCCGGTGCAGGCCCCGGCTCGCCCCGCGCCGCCGCCGTCGACCTCAACCGCCTGGACACGCTGTTGGAGGGCGCGGACCTGCCGTCAGACGACGAGGAGGACGAGGACTATGAGTGAGGGGCTTGTGGGGTGGAGGGCTGGTGGCTGGCGGTGGGGTGGGGGCATGTGGTGGAGTGGGCTGGCCGGCTGGCGGGCGGCTGGTGGGGGTGGATTGTGGGTAGCAGCAGTTCGCGCGGCGCCAAGCGCGGCAGCAACGACGGCGGGCAGCAGCTGCCGCTGGCGAGCGAGGCTGTGGCGGGCGTGCTGCCTGTTCCCTGCGTGCGCCGGCTCGCTCAAACCTTGTGCCCCGCCTGCTGCCGCCGCGCCCTGGCGTCGCAGGGCCAGCAGCAGCGAGTCTGAGGGCGGGCCCAGGAAGCGCCGCCGCGCCGGCTCCGCAGCCGCCGCCAGCGGTGACGAGAGCGGCGACGAGGGCAGCGGCGGCGAGGAGGGGAGCGGCGGCAGCGAGGCCGGCGGCAGCGGATCCGATTCAGAGAGCGGCGCCAGCCTGGCGTCAGGTGCGGGGGTAGAGGGCTGCCGCGGGCTGGCCGCCGCTGGCCGTGCTGCTTCGCACTGCCGCCGCAAGCCTCCCACGTCCCACGCGGGTGCCCCGCCGACTTCCCGCCTGGCCCGATGCCCCGGTTGCCATCTGCCGCCCCGCCTGTTCACCCCTGTGTTCCCCATCGCCTCTCCACCCCCAACCCTGATTCCCAAGCCTCGAAGTCTGCCCGCCTCTGCTGCAGAGGACCTGGAGGGGGAGATTGAGGATGTGGAGCTGAGCGCAGGCGCCGCTGCGGCTGTGGCCGGCAGGTGCGGCGCCGCCCGCGCTGCCCAGCCCGCTGGCGGCACCCCGGCATCGCCAGTGCGCTGCCCGGCCGGCTGGGCAGCGTGCCTGGGTGCATGAGTGCCTGCAGGGCTGCCTGCTGCTGCCTCTGAGCGCCGTCCCGGCCCCGTCTGCCATCCGTTTGCGCTGCAG